ATATTCCTCCCATTTACCTTTGGTACAGATCTGGTTTGATTATGGTTCAAGTAGGATCCTTGAATAATATATTCTAAATTTAGGGAATATGATTCCCAGTTGGGAGAAGGTAGGAAATTTTTGAAATTCGCCCACCCATTCCGCAACCTTTATGGCGTCCATTGGATGGATCCTACCATTCTTTCACTATCACCAAACCCAAAATTCACCATTACCCCATGTGTATGTGAGGGAGGACCACTCTAATTCTTTAGGAGAGAACCTTAGCAATGATCTTATATAATCTATTTACCAAGCTAATCGGTTTGAAATCCTTTGGGTGCACAACATCATCTTTTTTTGGAAGTTTAGCCCTGGATTAATCATTGCTCTATCATAGAACTCTTCAAACACCTTCCATAAATCATCTTTCAACACTTCCCAACAATCTTGATAGAAAGTCATAGTGAAATCATCCGGTCCATAAGCTTTAGATATATCATCCATAGAGAACACAACTTCCTTGATTTCATTCAACCCAAACCTTCTCTCAATCCAAACCCTAGAATCCTCCTCTAATCTTGACCACTCCAGACCCTTAATCCAAATTTTGCCATTCAGAGGTCTCCTGAAAATAGATTTGAAGTGATCCATAAAAACCCAACGAATCTCATCCTGTCAGGATATAGTCATGCCATTCACCACAACTTTAGAAATAAAGTTTTTTCCTTCTTTTCCCATTAGCCAAAGCATGGAAAAATTCAGTATTCCTATTTCCCTCCTTCAACCAAACCCAAGATTTTTTCCTCCAACCAACCTCCTCCTTAGTTAAGATATCCTCCAAATGTTTCCTCAACCAAGGCCATTGATTTTGGAACCTCTAATCATATGATCAGGTCTTCAAGTGTGTTTTCTTCCTTTTCAAGATCATCTCCATCTCAAGCAATTATTATAGTTAATGGTACCTCCTCTTCTTTTCATGGTTGCAGTGATTTTTCCCTCCATCTTTATCTTTAACTTTTGTGTTCTTCCTAAATTTTCATTTAACCTTAATGCTTGAATTAACCAAGTCTTTGAATTGTTCCATGACATTCATCCCTTCTTTTTCTCTTTATTTTTTTAGTCTAATTGTTACATGCAACTTATGGAGGGCAGTTTTGTAATTTCTGGCACTTGTTAGAAGCTTAATAAGCAAAGGGTCGACAAGAGAGAAAAACAGTTCGAATCTTTCTCTTGAAGACCCCTTTTCTTCTACTTTCTTCTTCCTTTTTCTCTTCTCTTGTGAAAAGTACCTTTCATTCTAAATACCACTTCTAATTAAGAAAAAAAAATCTATTCGATTTTAATTCAATCCCAACAATAAATTAAACTAAAAATACAAGAACATTATATATTGTTAACAATTATTAGTTGGGTATTTAAAAATAACTTCTTTGACGCAAACCAATTGCAATTTGATATTGTACATGATGAACATTATACAACATCCCAAATCAACTTTACAAACAGATGCATATCAATTTGGGAAAATTGAACTGCAAGGACCTCTCCTGTAATTTGGGGTGTGACAAAACCAGTGATGTATCACATAAACCCAATATCTAGATAATCGTAATGGTCCCTTAAGCTTAGTCAGTTAATTTCATGGTGTACCAAGAGTTCAACTAATCTGGTTCATCCAAATGAGGTACACAACCTAGAGACTTGGACCTATGAGTGAACTAATCTAGTTCTCAACCATCCAAGTGATCAGTCCATTCACCTCCACTCTCCACCTTTACCATTGCCCCCACCACCAGTTCTTTATTTTCATTTGTCTCCTTTACCCATCACAAGCAGATACTCTCCTCTACTACCATCCCCATGACTACCAACCCCCTCACATCTCTCTCTTGGTTTTTGCTTTCAAAACAGAAAAATGGTGTGGCCAATTTTGTAATTTTTCACAGTATAGGGGTCTAAGTATAATTTGCAGCTTCCTGCCTGATTAAATATGAGAGAGAAGCATAAAAACTGCTTGATCTCCACTTTTTTCCAATCAAGACATAAATCATATTAAATCCCTATGACTCCCTCAGCAAAATATTCCAATTGGTTAAGGATGACACTAGAGGAGGTAACTTTATAGAGATTTATACTTCTGTTTTTATTGTCCTTTCTTCTATTGTTTCAGCATACCTGTAACCCATTAAAAAGAAAAATCGCATGTAAACATTATGCAGAATGTACTACCCATAAACCATCATACATGTATGAACATTTGAAGAGCTCCAGTCTATTAAGATTATAACCAGAAAAAAATTAACTGATTAACTTAATGCTCAACTGTTAAAAAATCACATGCTCACCTGAAGTTCAAGATCCTTCATCTTGTATGCCATAGAGGATAGAGCATCAAGTGCATTCTGAACTTGACAGCCAAGAATGTCATGATTCCTTACTGCTGTTGCTACTTCAGCTTGCAGCTGTTCGATTTCCATCTCTTTGGAACACAATTTTTCTCTCAATACCCTTGTTATTAGGTTTTGTTCCTTGAGCATGAACTCAATATCGTCCTTTGTGTGCAAAGCCAAAGTTAAGAAAATATTGTGAGTACAATTTACCAATAAGATCAATGACATGTTCCAAATGAATTACTAATTAGGAAAACTAAGCTCAATTTTCTTTGAGGTAAACAAGGTAACTTGGGCAGCAACATACCTCCAAATCCTGACCACTCAGTTCCCCCAACCCACCATCATCAATGCATTGTGACTGAGATTCTGATGCTGTTAATTTGGACTTCTCATGTAATACCTCAGCTATTGTCTGCAAACTTCTTCTCAAATTTTCAGTTCCCCTCTTCAAACTTTGGACTTTCATATCAGATTCCACAACAAAATAATCATCTAAACCACTTTTATCTGCTTGACCCTTCTCAATGCCTTCAAGAATTTGTCCTCTTTTCCCTTTAACAAAGTCCAAGAACTTTACACATAGTTGATTGCTCTCATTGAGCAACAACAGGGCTTTACTTTGTAAGCAATCAATCCTGGCAAACAGCTCCTGATCTAACTTGAAAGATGAAGATGTACCCACATTTCCACTGCTTCTCAGGCGGTCCAACAGATTAATATTCTCGTGCTGAAGGGACTCAACTTCAAACCTATAAGATTCCACTTCTTTTCTCAAAAACTGCTCCACCCCTGTCAACCTCACTTGTTCCATTTGCAACTTCAACACATGATTATCAAATGCCTCAGAAAATTGCTTCCGTTTTATTTCTTCTTCAAGTCCTTGTCGCAAGCCAACAATCGTCTTCTCTTGTTCAGCGCAGGTCCTCTGTAATCTTGTAATAGCTTTCTGCAACTCCTTGTTTTCATTCTCCTTCTCTTTGTAGTTCCTTTGGATACATTTCTTATCTGCATCAACCACTCTAAGCTTATCTTGCAAATCTGACAGGGTTTTCCGAAGAGCCTGGTTTTCTTCATTTACTTGTTCCACTCTTTCCATCAGATCCTTTAACTGTTGTTCTGAATACACAATTCTATTTCTGTTCTCCGTTTCCTTACCACTAAGGGAAGAAACTTCTCTTTGGAGGGAGACATTCTGCTCTGCCAGCTCCCTTACCCGTTCCCGTAACCTCTGCTCTTCCAACTGGTACTTCTCAAGCCTGCAGGACCAGTCATTGGACCTTCTGTCTAATTCCTTCTCTAGTCCAGCCTGCAATTCATTCTTTTCCCTCTCTAGTCGCCTTGTCTGTGAGTCTAAATCAACCTTTGCAACTCTAAGTGCTTCCTTAGCAGAGGCTCTATCAGTAATTCGACACCGTAATTGGGTAGAGAGCTCAACAGCCAAATTTCTACAGTCAGTGGAGAGATTTCTGATCGTCCGAAACAAAACAGATGCACTGGGTCCACTATCTTGGAGAAGGTGCTCTTGCTCGAGCTCTCCAGAAGAAAGCAAAAACCTTTCCTCTATTTCTTTTGCTTTCCTATGTAATTCAACATCTTCATCTTCCATCTGTACTGAGTAAGGACCATCTGAAACATCCCCAAGAAGATAGCATTGTTTCTCAAAGCCTGGCATTTCCTCCCCATTGATGATTTTGTAACAGCCAGCGGACGGGTAACTTTTCTGGACAACCCCATCTGAACTTGAAGTAGGATGTGGGTCCAAATAGTCCTCAAGTACATCTTCCACAGTGGTAGGGATGCCAGGGATGAAATCCCTAGCATTTACCTCTTGTTTCTGAGGAAATACCAAGGACAATCTTTCAACCACATTCTTTGCTAATTCCTGTGGAGATTCAGACCCAAATTTTCCGTTTGTCCAATTTCTAGTTGGAAAGACATCATGTATGTCTCTCATTTCTCCAAATGAATAAGACCTTGATCTCTCTTTACTTCTACAAGTTGGTGAAGCCGGTGCTGTAGACTGAACTCGGGGGGGTCGCCAACCACAACCACTTCCAGTACCTGGAGGGTTCCTTTGAAAAGAACTGTTCCTTGGCTTTAAGATCCTTTCATTATGCAACTCTCCATCAATGTAAAGGTCAAGCACTTTGGTTGAGGGTTCGGTTAAGTGATTGGACCCACATCTAAGTGGGATTGCTTTGGAGACATAAGAAGAGTTCTCATGGTAATCTCTGGATAAACAAGGAGAATCAACATTCTCTTGCCCATGTGTCTTTTGGGTAGCTGCCCCTCCACCTCTAGTTGCTTTGGACTGCTTCTCTGGATTGAAGGACCTGCAACTGATACAAACCAAAAGTTAAAGAATGTAAAGTTTATCTTTTTTTTATGTATGAGGAGATCCATTTACATGAAAGGAAATGCAGATTTTTATGATATAAACAAAATGTGCTGGACTTCAGCTAACTTAAAGACCTTACCTATCAGAATAATCAGAGGGAAGAGGCATGATGTTGCTACTAGTTAAAGGAGATCTATTGGGACTTATACAAGTCAAATTTCTTTCTCCCGAACTGCCACTGTAGGAAGTAGCTGATGAATATGACCTGCTTCTTCTAAGACTTGATAGTCCCGGACTAGTTTCAGAGTTTGGGCTTCCAGAGAACTGTTTTTGAGGTTTAACCTTGGGGCTCTTTGTTCTGCTCACACCCTTATCATTGACTTCATTGTTAATTCCATTTTCCAAAGTCTCCCAATAAACTTTCTCATCAGTTGGTTCTGGAGGAACAGAATTTTTGTTCCCATTGATGGATGTAGAAGATCTGAAAAAGAACAACTTCTTCATCTATAAATCCTCGGTTGGAATTTATAGATATAAAACAAATATTCTTGGAAGATGCAAAATCTCTCTTACAATCTTCACCGTACTACCAAGCTCTAAACAGGATATTCTCCTGAAAAATAAAAAGCATAGCATTAACAAGATTAATAGAATCAACGAGAAAGGGAGAATAAGAGTGAAAATTGTGCTCCCAAAACTACAATACATCATGCTCTAATCAGAAACTTTGAAATCCTCAGTTAATTAGATGTTTAAATTATGACAGAAACAGGAAAAAAAAGGTACATACTAAATAATAGATCCATGGTGTGGGTACAACAATAACTAGGAAGCTGAGGAAGAAATGGGTATATCCAACAACAAGAAGCCCAAAAATAGAAAGAATAAGAACTAACGATGATGATGATGGCTGCCAGAGAGGGGAAGGAGAGAACCCTTGCAAGAAGGCCATCATTCAAGTTGGTGTAGAAGGTGATAGCCTTTGTGAGTTCTGCCAGGACACAATTTTTTTTAGTGCCACGGGAATGCTTCATTTCTGCCTTGGGCCCATTCCTCATTCTCATTGAAATAGACCCAGAGAATTTTTTTTTTATTTTTCATCCATCAAAAATTCAAAAAAAAATCCACTAAATTGAAATAAGGTCTTACAGGTATATGAAATTAGCAACCAGAATTGGTATTAATCCAGATAGAGTGGGGAGTAAACCTATCCATCTGATAATGGAAGAATGGTAGGCGGACAAGCTTCAACATACAGAGAGGGTTGAGAAACAATCACTAGTGGCCAAGTTTATTGTGCCGCTAAGACTAATTTAAGGATGAAAGGAATAATACGCTACATAATGACAGGCATAGTCACTTGGAAGTTATTCAAAAAGTAAATTCTTTCATCTGGGAGAACTCTGAGCCTAACAATCCTGTTGTTTAGCAATTAAGCAGCTCTGATGTGCTCACCAAATCTGCAACTAGCATGATCAATAATCTTGATGTTTACATTCACGTGGATGGATCGTATGACCCTGTTACAAGAAGATCTGCAACTGGATGCATAAACTCCAGAAAGAAATAACAATGTTATTTTTTACATAAGGAAAACATGCAAGGCTGCAGAAGTACTGACTTAGAATGGTTTGCAGTTATCAGGGGTCTTCAACAAGCAGCCAACAGGAACTTTAGAAGGTTACAAGTCTTTCCTGATGCTGCTAATATAGAAAATAACCTAAAGGACAACCACAGTTCCTGCACATGGATTGAACTACCTCTTCGTGATGCTGTGTCTAATCCTTTAACACATTTCGATAAGTATTAATGTAAATAGATCTCCGACCTTGTTAGCTCTTCTTTTGGCCTATGGTGCATGCAAAAGGGGATTTGATGTAAATATATGTATCCCACATATGGGAACTGATGTACAAAGTTTATTACCAGAAATGAAATGAAGTTTTGTTAAAAAAAAATGTTGACCATAAATAAGAGAAACCCATAACGGAAAAGCAATAACAACTCCAAAAGAAACTAAAAAGAAACCCAAAAAGCTCTACTCGGGATTACAGACCCTTGATGCAATACAAGATTTAAAAAGAAAAAAAAAAACAATTATATATAATGGAACCCGTATTCCTTCTCAGAGTATTCTCGAGATCTAAACAGAGAAATGGCAAACGAAAGAAAGTAAACTCTTTAGATATGTCAAGGATAAAAATGAAATTACATTGATAAACAGAATTAGAAAGAAGTTCCATGAGAGAAAGAAAAGAGAAGCTGAACTCAAGCAGCTTTTAGATTTAGAGGTAACGTACAAGCGTTTCAGAGAAGCAACTCTAGAAACGTAAGAAACTGAGAAATCATAAAAGAAAGTAAAGAAAGAGAACTTGGTGAAAACAGTAGCTGAGAAAACGTACTCTGACAAAATCTAATAAAACAGAATAGAGACAGCAACCCTTGATTTCATCGAAGGGAATCCGGAAAAAGGTCCCCATGAAACTTGAGCTTAACAAGTAGAATATCACCAAAACACGCTCCTCCTTTTTCTACATCTCCTTTCTCCTTAAACCGTCAATACCTCTCTCCCCACCATTAGTCATTGCCCATTTCAAGAAACGCTAAGAAATATCACGAAAAGTGAATTCACTAAACTAAAACATTGAAAATTGCCCGAAATCAAAATAAAACAAAATCCTATTAGATAGAATTATGCAAAACCTCACAAACATCTGACTATTTTAAATTTTGATTCTTTTTTCTTTTTTTGGTAAGACATTTCACTTCCAGAGAGTTTAATTCCCTTCTCGGGGGATAAAAATTCAACCTCCAAGAGACGAATAAACCCAAAAAATAATACCAAAGCTAAACAAGCAATGCAAGATAGAAGTGAAAGAACTCCTTACAAAATTTTTCAATTCTTCTCTGTCTCAGAAAACCCAGAAGTCAATTCTAATCCTTAAAAGAAAAGATTAGTTTACACCGAATAGCGCAAGCACCAAAAAAAATCCTTCTAGGAAAAAGTACCGTTGAAGAGCCGGCGAATTTATCGGGATTTTCGAAATTTGAAAGGAACTAGAGACCCAAAATTTCAGGTAAACTGAAGAAAAAAAATGGTAGCAGAAGTATCCCCAATTCTTACCATCAACGAACAATCTACCGTGCTCCTTGTTCGAACAATGAAAATTGGGAGTGATGATGAAGACTTTAGTCGTGAACCGGATCTTTTAAACTGGATTTCAGTGCGACAAAAACAAAATTTAAAAAATGAAAACGAAAGCTAAAATGGCGGACTAATATTTTATTAGGGCAGCGGGCAGCGCTAGCGTCCGAACCCTTGAAGAATTGGTAAATTACTTAAACATACCCATTATTTTTTGACAATTACTTTTAAGTAATCATATAACAACCACTCTATTTAGCCCTATATTGAACAGTTTTGTTTTCTCCACAAATAAGTGTTACACGTATTTTGAAATAAACAATCATGGCCATGCATCTAATCATTTTGGTGACCATGTTACTGTTTTAAGAGGCAATACAAATATTTCTTAATAAAAGGTCGATTAAATAAATAGGTTATACATTATAGGAGTGTTTTAATAAAAACTATAAGACAAATTTAAGCATATCAATGGAATTATAAGAATAATCTAATAAATTACCCTATTTTATTTATTTAGATAAATGGCCAAAATCTCCCTTGGTTATTACTAAACATTAGTTTGGTATTTGCAATTAGGCGTGACAATTTTCCAACCCACCCATTAATTAGCGGGTTGGGTTGTAATCATATAGTCGCAGGCCAATTGTGGGTTGAGTAACCCAACAAAGGAACATTTATTGGGTTGGGTCATGGTTATCCAACGGATAACCCATTAACTATTAATATTTCGAGTTTTCCTCACTTTATCTCTCATTCTCCTGATGATTGATCTTTTCAAACCAAGCAACGATGGCCCTGTTTATTCACCTACCCCAACCTTAATCTGATGTTTGAATGTTTTTATCAAAAGAAGAAGAGGTTGAATATTGTAGCTTCAGAATTCTGCCTTCTTTGTTTATTAGTTTTTGTAATTTTTATAGAATTCAATATTTTCGCTCAGTTTACGCTTGGAAACGATGCAAATAGAGTATAAATCTTGGTTCATGGTAAATTTGCACTCTGGTTCACTTTTGCCTAGATTTGGGAACATTACATTTATGTATTGACAAATGACGGATCAATGCATATTTACATTGATAATAAGATGTAAGGCTTAGTTTGGAAATAGTACAAATGCAAATATGTAGAGTGCAGATCTTATATTTTGTATTATTTTGTATGTATTTACACTGTACATATTTGCATTTGTACTCCTTCCAAACTGACTCCTACATAATAGTGCATGTATGGGAGTTAACCCTAATCCAATACCCCACTCGCATGGGATTGGTTAGCAAAGTGGATTGATGTGACAGTCCTAATCCCTAGCTATAAATAGCTTGCTTAGGGAGAAAGAGTCTTCTTTTTCAGCACTCACATTGCAAGAAGCTCTCACACACCAACACTTGAGCATTATAAGCAATCACAAGCTTTTACAAACTCCAACAACTTTAAGATCAAGATAGAAAAAAGAAAGGAAAAACTTCTTAGTTTTCTACACCACACTTGGATTCAAGCTCTCTAAAAAAGATCAAGCCACTATAAAATGGCCATTCTTAGAAAAGCATCATTCACAACCGATCAAGTGTGAAGCCTGGAGTGAAGAAATATAGATCAATTCTTTAAAAACACCAAATTCAAGGAAATCTACATCAACACTTCAAGAAGTACAAGAAACACGCCGACATCCCTTGTCTTCACCGAATTCGACCATTAACTAGAGGTTGCTCACTTCATAGAGCATAAATCAAAGAGAGTTCAAATCCTTTGTATTTTCCTTTATTACAAAATTATTTTTGTAATTTGTCTCCATATTTTGTATTAATCAAATACACGAATTTTTTGTTGAAAATGGAGTCATTCAAATTGCTGATATATTATTCCCATGAATGCAAAAATATTGTTTTTCGGCTGCTATGGTATCCATGTACACTTAGAATGGGGTCGCACAACGAGCAATGAGTTTTGTTTTAGGAGATTTTGAGGTTGGATTCAAAGGTAAAGCACCAAGTGGGAAACTATCATAACATGAGTGTCCTTCTAGCACATGCTCATTCATCTGCTTAGGATTGGGTAACTATCATTGCTGAGTTTGTTTGATCTCTGCGATTTTTATTAATTTCCATATTTTTATATCTTCTAGTAATTTATGCTATTTTCAGAATTTTTGTATTTTTATAACTTTATTGTTTTTTGTAGTTTCTATTTTTTCAATGTTTTTCTATATTTTTCTGTTATTTTTCTTCATTTTCTATAATTTTTGTTATATTTTTTGCAATTATTATTATTATATAATTTTAAAGTTTCCTATAATTTATGTTTATTTTTTTGCATTTTCCATTGTTTTATCATTTTTATACTTTTGCAACTTAATGTTATATTTTTCTACAATTGTACTTTCCAATTTTTCTCTTCATACCTATTATTACACAATCTTTTTTCTAAAATTGATTTATTTTTCAAATTTGCCCTTCATATCAATAACTCAAAGGTAAAGTTGCAACTTTAAATTCTTTTTATTTTTGTTGTTCATAAAGTTTGTATTGTTTTCTTTTGTAGAAACCAGCCTCAATAATAACTGCATAGGTATTTTGAACATTTTCATGCCTTTTTTTTTAAGAAGATTCACCCACAAGGGTCTACTTGCAACTGTATCAAAAACCTTAGGGGAAGTGATTGCAATTACTAAACTTTAGGGAAAGTTTCAGCAACAGTCAGAAACTTTAAAGAGGTTTTGGCAACTTACCTTTTTTAGGGATGAATACTTATAAACCTCCCTTAAGATTTTTGACAAATACTAAAACCTCCCCTCATTTTTCTAAAATGACTAACACTTCCCCTATTAATTAAATCACCTCATTGACTTATTGTTATGTCTAATGAAAAGGTCAAAAGGGCCAATTTGCCCTTACATGAAAACCCACCCTCTACTACTCACTCATAATGCTTACTACCAGCCCCCTAGACCCAAAAAAAGATGAAAAAATAGAGGTTAATTGCAAGGTGTGAGAAGTTACTTCTTGCTCATGCTCTTCCCATAACCAACTATGAGGTGATCAAGAGGCAACAGTCTATGTGATTTCTAAAAGTTGTAGATTGTGATAAGATTAAAATTAAGAGGTGAAAGGTGACTCTTGATCTAACAATAAGGGAATTAGGGTTTCTTGTTATATTAAGAGATGACTAAGGGACTAAGGCTGCGTTTGATTGAGGTGTAAATGTGAATTGATGTAAATTTCAACTGTCGGTTCGCATTTACACCTATCTGTTTCCAGTGTAAAAGCGAACCGATGTAAAACTGTACAACCAATTCACTTTTGTAACCATTTGTTCCCCATGTAAAAATTACATAAAAAATCGATGTAATCCTGTTTTTTGGTTGACTTTTATATCATTAATCGATGTAAATGATACATCAACAAAATTGATGTACTTTTACATCCATTCTCACTTAAAAAAATTCCCAATAGTCTAGACAATTTTAATCGATGGACTTTTACATAATAAAATTTTCCATCGACTAACTTTTACATAATAGATTTTTCCACCGCATTCAAACGTAGCTGAAGGGGATGAGGAATTAGGGGTGCTCATGGTTCGGGTAACCAAACCGTGGGTTTTTTTTGGACCAAACCGGTAGTAGCGGTTTTTGGAAAACCGGTAACCGAAACCGAATTGAAACCAGTCGGTTAACTGGTTGACTGGTTCAGTTAATCGACGATTCAGTTCGTTGGTTTTTTTGTTTTTTTGACTTTATAATATTTATTATAAAAATATATATAAATATATAATAAAAATTTATAAATATATATAAAATATTATATTTTAAATAATAAATAATATATAATATTTATTTATTAATTTATAATATATAAAATACATATAAAGAATATATACAAAAACATGTATACCGGTCAGTTCGGTTAACCGCCAGTTTTTAAATTGGTTAGCCGAAACTGAACCGGTACCTTCGGTTTTTTAAAATCATTGAACCGAAACTGAACCGACCAATTCGACTAACCAATTTTTCAGTTTGGTTTTGATCGACTTTTTTAGTCAATTCGATTTTTCGGTTTTTTTTCACCCCTAAAAAGAATAGTGATGGTAGGGGTAGCGGCGGTGAGGACTCTGGCACGTCTGAGAATCGTCAATTGTTCTAATTCACGTGGTTGTTTTGATTCCAATAGGTTATATACATCAGGGTCCAACTTCTCCTTTTCTCCGAAAACTTTTCGATTAT